ATCCCCACCGATTCATGGTTCCGATTCATGCAACCGATCGCACTCGGCCGAATAACGGGGATACTCATGTGGATCACCCTGTGCTGGTCGCTGGCAAGGTGTTAAAACATAATTTAAAAATGTTCGTCGATGGAGGGGCCAGCCATAGCCTCTTCAACTTGGCGACAACAAAAAAAAATGCAAGCTGCAACTGGACAGATGTCTGCCCGAAATCGACGCTCGCCTCGTGGATGGGACGCCTCTGGCGATAACGGAAGAAACACGGACAATTAGGATCGAATGCGGCGACGATTTCGGCTTCAGCATGAAGTTTCTCACGACGACGCTGGATGGCTGCGATGTGCTGCTGGGGCGTGATTGGCTGCGATGACACAACCCCGTCATCGACTGGACCATGGGATCGTGCAGCGTCAACAAGCACGAAGGGCTAATTAAGTTGCCTGCATGGACACCTGACTACATCCAAGCCCCGTACGTCAAAGCTATCACTATAGCTCGCCACTTCAACCGAGGCGCGCAACTGTTCACTCCGAAGCCGTTCACTCCGAAGTTATTCACGCCATGGCTTCGCATGTGCATCGACTATCGCGCGTTGAACTGGGTGACCATCAAGTCCGCTACCCAAACCCACGCACCGACGACCTCCTCGACCAACTTCGCGGCGTTCGCTATTTCTGGAAGATCGACTTACGTGGCGGTTACCACCAGATCCGAGAATTCGCCGACTACTGTCACAAGACTGTGTTTCGCACATGCTACGGGAGTTACGAATTCACGGTGATCCCTTTCGGCCTCACAAACGCGCCTTCGACATTTCAGGGTTTTTTAGCAAGACACAGGAGCAGCACCTCAGCGACCTTGACGCTATGTTTAAGCGGCTACAAGAGAACCGCCTCATCAGCAAGGGCTCTAAATGCGAGTTTTTTAAGCAGGAGTAGGAGTTTTTGGGGTGTGCAAGTGACCGGCAGGAGCACGACGCAGCAACTGGACCAGACACGGGAACCTGACCAGACACAGCTACCTGAGGGGACGCAGCAACCTGGTGAGACGCAGGGACAAGACTGGGGGAAGTAACCGGGGCCGGGGGCAGGAGTCGCTGCTGCTGCTGCGGCTGCGGCTGCGGCCCACTAGGGCCAGTATGAAGTGTGTAGAGACCAGAGCCCGGCTCGGCAGTAAAGTTGGCAAGAGGCGAGTAAGTGTCGCCGTCAACACAAACCGCAGTCTCACCAGAGGGCTCAATCCACACACCCACGTGCTGACTCACAAGAGGTCTCACGCCCACCAAGTTCCTCGAGAATGAGGGGACGTGGAAGCCAGTCAGAGACCCAGAGGGAACAGCAGGGCACGGAAGAGTAGTAGTGTAGCGAGCAGTGACTGGTCCCGAGGTGGGATCAGCCAGTGCTACATAGACTGGCGCAGGAAGTGGAGTAAGTGTCGTGTGGTCGCGGAAGAAGCAGTGCGAAGCCCCGGAATCCAAAGTGAAAGACAGCGAAGCGTCCTCCGAAGTAGCGTCCGGACGAGTGCCTACACAAGTGCCTACACTAGCAACAGGTAACTCAGCAAGACTAGCACCTAAGCTAACAACACGTGAGTAAACAGAGTCAGAAGCACTAGAGTCAACAACAGCATACATAGCATGAGGAGTTCCTAAGAGATCAAGCAACTGAGAAGCCGACATGCCCCAAAGGGTGGAGCCGTGCGTCTGAACAAGAGGAAACGAGTCAGGGGCAGGGCCGCCAACGCCGAAGGCCAAGCGAACCGTGTCAGTGAGCTGAGCAAAGCACTGACCAGGAAGGTGGGTGTGGCCACAAGGCTGGCCTCGGCGAGCACCTGTCAGAACCTGATAGGTGCACGAAGGGTGAACAACACCTTGCTGGGGCTGACGCTGTCCTGGCCACGAAACCTGGTGCTGCCGCTGCTGCTACAGGGGCTGCTGCAAGGGGAGGGGCTGCTGCTGCTGCCGCTGGGCCAGGTACCACGCCGCTGCTCCACCCACCGCGGCTGGCAGACCAGGAGGAGGCTGACGAGTCCGAGTGTCGCCTTCACCAGCTGGAGTAGGGGAGTCACTGGCCGCTGCACGAGACGCCTCTCTAGGTCCTGCGCTCCCGTCGCCACCTGTTGGCACGCCACCCCCACCACCTCTGCCGCCAACGCCGCCACCGTCGCCGCCGCCTGCACCCGGACCGCCCCTCCTGCCACCCCTACCTCGAGACCGCGAAGAAGTCGTAACAGCAGCTGCGGTCACGTCAGTAGTGGCAGTGGCTAGTGAGGCAGTAAAAGTGGGCAGCTGAGGGACAGTGCACCCGTGAAACAGTGGAGGGGGCACAGCACCAGAGGCAGAGGCTACGGAGCGGAGGTTGCTCTCGACGTCCTTGAGCGCAGACTCAAGGACCTCGATAGTGAGCTCACTAGGGTGCTTCAGGAGAAGTGTGTCACGAACTGAGGCAAGGCGGTCAGGGAGGCTAGTGGCGATGAAGTAGAAAGTAATTGCCATAGGTGGGGGAAGCAGTGCAAGCTGTGCGTCAGTGCAAGCAGCGCGGTAGCTAGAATCGAGCGAGCGGAGGTGAGCAATCAAGTCAGCAGAGCGCTCAAACGAGGCGAGGTCGGGGAACAAGAACGGTAGGAAGAGGCGGCCAAGAGAGACAGTGGTGGGAGTAGCGTAGCGGGCCTTGATCGCAGTCAGGAACTCACTAGCAGTGTGAACCTGAGTGAAGTAGGCCTCCTCAGACTCAGGGAGGAGGCTGCTGAGAGCGATACAGGCCGCAACGTCACGCGACTTCCACGCCGTCAGGTCAGCACGCTGGCGGGTAAAGCGGTCTCTGGTGGCGTCGTCAGGGGCAGGGCCTAAAGGCGTAGGGTCGTCGGGCGCAGGAAGGTCACCAGTAGCGTGCGCCCAGAGGGACTCGCCCGCCTGGACCTGACTCTCTAAAAGGCAACGCGCGCGTAGGAGTCAGACCGGAAACTCGAGCGGTCGACCGTCAGCGTCAAAGCGAAGAACCCTAGGGGTCGCCATAGCGTAAGCAGAAACGAGCAGTCCGGCTGCAGGCGGCACTGGTAGGGCGGCTAGGGCAAGTCCGTGGCAGGTGTAAAACGCAGGCGTGACAGGCGGAAGGGGTGGTCCCGCGGTGGACTGAACGAGTAGGCACAGCGGTGGAAAGAGCGAGCCCACGGCGGGCCTAACTAGGAGACGTGTCGGCGGGCAGGAGGGGTAGGCACGGCGGCAGGACGAGCGGGCCCGCTGGGGGCCTGACGAGGAGGCGCGACGGCGGGCAGGAGGGGTAGGCACGGCGGCAGGACGTGCGGGCCCGCGGCGGGCCTGACGCGTGGGCGCGGCGGCGGGCGGCGCGAATAGACGCGGCGGCGGGACGAGCAGGCCCGCGGCGGGCCGAACAGACAGGCGCGGCGGCAGGCGCAACGCGCGAACGGACGTTTAGGGCAGCGGGGGGAGGGCGCGTCGCGACGAGCAGCAGGGGCGGAAAACGCGACGGGCAGCGGGGGGGGAGGAGGGGGGGGGGGGGGGGGGGGGGGAGGTCGTTACGCTACGAGAAAATGGTGGGTCGGCGGAACGGGCGGTAACGAATGAATGCGACTAGATCGGGCCGGCGCTAGGCTCGGGCAAGACGCGCGTAACTAGTACGACAGAGTGAGACAGGCTCGGGCGAAACGAACGAGGACGGGAGGAGCGGGATCCCACAGGATCCTAACCTAGGTGATACCATGTCAAGAACAGAAGTGTTGGTTCATTGATGTGGGTTGGGGTACATATAACAAACCCTAACATCTGTACCCCCTATGACAAACCTCACTACAGGCTACAACATTTGACACAACGCACCTTCTCCAGGCCTTCTGCATCCACCCCTTTCACATCCCCATTTGTTGCATCCACCCCTTTCACATCCCCATTTCTCACATCTACAAACACACCATCTTCCTCAGCATCCCCAACCCCAAGCGTCCGCCCTCTTGCTATTGACCCGCGAATGCCCCACATACTCCACACGATTCTTGCCCCCAAAAGAACAAATGGGCACCAGAATTAAAGTTAATAACACAGCTGCATGGTCATCGACCAGCTGCATGTGTCAGAGGGCAACGGAAACATATACCGTAATACCCCGGATATAAGCGCACCTGCGCTTATAATAAAATGTGTTTTTTTAGGGGGGTGCGCTTCTAATTGAGTAAAATTTATAAGCGCATGCGCTTATAAAATAACAAATAGACTTATATGTTTTAAAGGAACGAAACTGTATATCTCCTCCTTGCACTTCAACCGAATCGAAATTTTGAGCGTAAAAAATCAGAATCGTGCGGGTTCGATACTCTGCCGGTGCACAGGGGTAAAAGTTACACGTCAGACTGCTGGAATGCCAGCTCATACCCTGGACGCGCAGGATGTGAGGTCCTCAACGTCAATCGAAGCGAAAATGGTTGTATCCTCGCTGCAAAATTGGATTTCGTTACCGTTTTAATCAAAATTGAAAATTGAAATTAGACATGCGCTTATAATAAGTAAGGGTTTTACAGGGGGTGCGCTTATAATTGAGGAACGGGCATAAGCGCAGTGCTCCATATATAAGCGCATGCGCTTATCATAGGCCTGCGCTTATATCCGGGGTGATACGGTAGCAACCACATGACTCAGTGATCAACAGCATGAGTCAAGACAAGATAGTAATGTACAGTTATGATGTGATGAGTCAACAAGACAGTAGTGTGTTACAGCAATGCATACACTTCCACGTTTCTTGAGTATTTGTTATCATTTACACGTGTTACCGAAGTTCAAAATGCAAAAGGGTCCTGCTCACAAACACGTCCAATGGGCGATTGTATAGAGAGGGGAACTTGCCACCAAGGCACTTAAGCCTCACTTATACGCTATGGTTATTGTGGCATTTGACCGGAGCATTTTTGTGCAGGGCCATGTAGTGTCTCATTGGTAGTAAAGCTCATTGGTAATATTCGGGTTCTCATGCTGATTACACAGCCATGTGCTACAGTGTCTTGAAAGTCTTTGGGCGGCGAGGCTTGTACACCATTGGCAGAAAAATCAAGAGAATCGGGATGACAGTACCAGTATAGTACATGCCACTATAGGCTGAGTATGCTCCCGATAGTGTCATCACCTGCATCATGAACAGCCATAGCAAACACAGTCAAACGAGAGAAGCAATGCGCTTGAACGAGAGGGCAGTATAGATGCATGGAGGCCCATGGTGGAAATTACGGCCCCAGCAGCGAGGTTTACTGGAGAGTCCATGAAAATAAAATAAGAAAAAAAAGAAAGAAAAAGAAAAGTGAAACATGCACACTTACGCAGAAGGCGCTGGCCAAGTAGCTGCAGACGAAGATGCTATAGAGGGTATGAAGAAGCGTTACAATGCGGTGGGTGTTGGTGCCCTTGGCGATTCCAGCACTGAGCTGGTAGATGGCTGCATGAGAGGGAAGAGGAATGAAGGGAAGGGGAGGAGGTGACTTTTGAGCCGACTGAAAAGTCACCTCGTTACCATGCGGTGGGTGATGGTGCCCTTGGGTATTCCATTCCAGCGGTGAGCTGGTAGACGGCTGCATGAAGGGGAAGAGGAATGAAGGGAAGCGGAGCAGAGAATTTGAGAGAAATGAATATGAGCGCAATTTTGCGGGAACTGGTGTGCCCAAGTAACAGGTTAGGATCCCATGGTTGAGAAACTGGAAGGGGAAATGGGTATGGGATTTGGGTATGGAATGGTGGCGGGAGTGGTAGTGCGAATGGGATTGGAAAATGGATATCGCAAGAGAAATGGGAATGCACATTAGAAATGGATGCGTATGGAAAAGAAAACAGGCTCGGAAGAATGAATGGGAATGGGATGGAAGTGCTCGAATGAAAATGGAAACCGAACGAGAGGGGAAAAAAAAACTCGTCAAAGTGCAGGAGATAGCAGGATTGTAGTGGTCTTCAATTTATATTCATGCTACTATCTTGGGGTGTGTCCATACCTTTAGAGCTGGCAACAACAAGCGCCCAATTGGCAAAAAAGATGAAGTCACCCCAATTCAAGCCCTGTGGGTAGCACAGAGTTGGGGTTTGGAAAAAGTGCACATGGTCGGGAGATTATGGAGAGGGAGACACAGCCTTTGAAATCAAAAACTAATCTGACACAGAAGGTGCAAGTGAAATCAGCAATGCATATGGCTTTGCGTGCATATGGCTCTACGTGCGTGGGGCACTGTAGAAGGTTCTGTACACTCAGAGAATAAGAAGCTTGCTCTAATGGAACCAAGGCTATATACGCTGATCGCTAAAAGCTGCAGTGGTTGTTAAGATACAGTACTGTGGTGCCGAAACCAGAAATAGCAAAAGCAGTTTGCACAAATTGGCTTTGGGTGCGCCAATATGAGCAATAATATTGTGGCTGCTGGCATGAGAGTGAGGTGGGGTGACGTGAATGGGGACAGGAGAGGGTGACACAGAGATAACGATTGTTCGAGATGGCACGGGGCCATGAACATGGCAGATAGGGGTAACGCACGTGGGAGAGAAGCATGGGGAGTAGGAGTGAGGCACATGGGAGAGAGAAGCATGGGGAGTAGGAGTGAGGCACATGGGAGAGAGAAGCATGGGGAGTAGGAGTGAGGCACATGGGAGAGAGAAGCATGGGGAGTAGGAGTGAGGCACATGGGTGAGAGAAGCATGGGGAGTAGGAGTGAGGCACATGGGAGACGGGGTAAGGGAGAACGCACATGGGAGACGGGGTAAGGGAGAACGCACATGGGAGACGGCGCTGACGAGCATGGTGGTGAGCATGTGGACGAACGTGGGCCTTCTGCCGGGCGGCACCATGCGTTCGTACACGTCTGTGCGGGGCGTAGGTGACCAGCGGTGGACGCATGGAAGGGAGTCACGAGGGAGCAGCGGACAAGCACGCCTCATGATGCATGAAGAATGAAGCAATGTCGCATGGTGAAGCATGAGGCAAGCATGATACATGAAGCATGAATTTGAAACATGGAGCTTGGAGCACGGAGCGTGTGCATGCCAGCCAATGAGGAAAGGACTAGAATGCTGGGAGCACATGCAAACGAACGGGAGAAGAGCGATGCTCAAACTCGCAGAGGTCGTGGAACGGTTCAGAGAGGTCCAAAGAGGTGCAGAGAGCCACAGAGTGGTTCAAAGAGATTCAGGGAGGTCGAGAGGTGAAGGTGCAGTGCGGCGTGGACTCACAGAGCCTGAGCCAGAGACCGTAGGAAATGTTCCACGTGGTGGCGAAGTCAAGGCAGCTCTTGGGAAACTCAACCCCCAGTATGTCCGCGTTGCGAGCCCGGTTCCACAACGCCTTCCCCTCCCCTGCAGGCGCCGCACAAGTCTTATCACCCTCATGCTTCCCTGCATCCCCATCCCCGCCACCCTTCCCATTCCCCTTCCCCCCTTCCGATTTCCCCCCGTTTCCCTTCACGTCCCCGCCCTTTCCAGTCTCCCCATTGGGGGCCTCCCAGCCACTGAACCCCAGGCGACCAACAATCATGGCAGCCTCAGTGATGCTCCAGAGGATGTACGCTCGGAAGCGCCACACGATGCCGGCGTGGTGCGCGTAGAGCCAGCGCAGGTGGAAGGGGAAGGAGCGGTTCTTGCGCAGGTCGCTGATGCGCGTGAGGTCAAGCGAGGGGGACACGAGCAGGAAGACGGTCGCTGCCAGGACGCCCTGGGTGAACGCGCGGAAGAACGGCGGGAGGATGGGTGCCTGCTTGAAACCTGGGAACCAGATGTGCAGGGGAGGGATGGATGGCAACGGACAGAAGAGTGAGGTTAAGGATGAACGCGTGGAAAAAGGGCGGGAGGAGAGATGGCTGCTTGAGACCTGGGGAGCAGATCTCCAGGTGGTGAGGAGGGGGGTGGATGGGAACGTGCAGAGTGGTGAAGCACGCGTGTGGAGATGATGCCATGAAGGAATGCATGGAAGGATGGCGGAAGGAGGGACAGCAGTTTCAGCGTGAAGATCAGATGGACTGTGAGGAGAGGCGGTCAGATGGAGAGGGGGATGCACAGGAAATGTGACAACTCGAATGAAATGTGGGAAGACAGAATGGAGGAGATGAAAAGTGAAGGGGAGGTTCGACACAAGAAGATGAAACGTAGGAGCACGAGAGCCCGAATATGCAGCGTGTGGCGTCACAACACAGCCGATGATATAAATATGACTATGGCTATGGATATGGATAGGGATAGGGATATATGGATAAGGGTATGCACGTTCATGTGGAAGCATGTCATGATTGAAAGCGTACCCCTTGTCGTCGGGTCCAGTCATTGTACACCTTGAACTCGAAGAACGGGCCTGTTATGCGCAGCCCGGAGCAGAACAGGTACCCCATCAGCTCCAGCACCGACGGCATGGTAACCAGCGCCGTCTTTCGCCGCTCCAATCGCGAACGCTCCATCCGCTCCTCCCGCCGCCTCTGCTCCTCCGTTAATTCCTTCCTCTCATTCTCGTCCTTGGCTTGCGCGCCTTCGTCCTTCTCCTTCAGCAGCGTGAGCCCGTCCTGGTAGTTATATGCGACAGCGGAAAGCTTTGTAGCGAGGACAGTCAGCGCGCCTGTGCAGTCGAGCACGCCCTCCGTGCGGGTCTCGTGGGTCCGCATGATGACGTGGCTGCAGGAGGTCGGATCGCGTTGAACGAGGGAAATACACGTCAGCAAGTCAACATCGTTACGTCGGTGAGTTAAGGAAGTTTGAAGCGGGAAATGTGGAGACGGAGGAATGTTCGCATGAAAGTACGGGGGGATGAACGTTAGCTGGAAGAGGATGCAAAGAGGGGAAACGAGACGGCTGGCAATGACACAGAAGGCGCTTAAAGCCTAAGGTGCAAAGGTTTGCCACAAAGGCTGCTAGTACCGGCGTTTGACCTTGTGCGGCTTGACTCGCGAATTCCAGAACCAAAGAAACACCAAGAAGTACAGAACGACGAGAAGAGGAACTTACCACCCAATCAAGTACGCGAACGTTCCGAAGAACGTTAGGACGCCGCATTTTCTACGAAACAGCCGCATTATGGCCATGGAGTAGAGCGTGCACACGAAGAAGTGCGCGTCTGCCGTCCATCCGAACACGAACACCGATAGAAGCAGTCCCGTTACTGTGCAGTACAGATGGCGGAGTGAAGGCGATGAGATAAATCTGTGAAGCCACGCAATCGGGACAAACGAGAAGCTAGCTAGTAAGAAAGTCGCGGCTGGACGGGGCGTGCCGAAAAGGTCAGCGAAAGACTGTATGGGATCCATGGGGGACCCCAACGCAAGGAAAAACAGTGGGCCGATGCGGAGGCGAAAGGCGGGTCAAGGCTGTGCTTGCCGTTCTTGCTCTTGTCCTTGCTTGTTCTTGATGTTCTTGTTCTTGATATTGCTGGTGTTCTAGTCAACGTACTCCCCGCCTTGTCCATTTTATACCAGCCCTTATGCAAGGAAGAAGATATTCAAGAGGCCGTGTCCTTCCCTTACACTCTTCACGGTTTTCCTCCGCGCCTCTTCGTCACACGCTGGTAGCACCCCCTTGCTCCCCCTTCCTCCTCCCCCGTTCCCCGCTCGCCTGTTTGGCGCGTGCCGTGCGCGCGCAAGAGAAACACGAACTTTGTCAGGCTACGACCAGCAGCACCACCATGGGCTACCTACCTGATTACCGAAGCCTAAGAAATAACTCGGAAAGACAAACGACGGAGTTTGAGATGATGTTCGAAATGACAGGATGACACGGGCGTGTGGTGGAGCTGCCGCTGTGGTGGCGTGCTGCTGACAAATCGCAACCATCTATTCCAAGTGGATACAACGGATGGCAAATCGTGAGCGTTGGCGAGAATGAATCCGAAGACCTAGGCAAACCGCGATGACGTGTCAGAAATGCATACTGTAATTCATATGTTCCGTGGATCCTCGCACGTGTAGCAGGCGAGGGGATGTTCGATTCGGACGGGAAAGGCGAAAAAGCGCGCTGGCAGTCTGCGAGACAGGCTGCCAGACACAAGATAATCCGGAGAATCTCCCCTCGCGCCGAGGAAAGCCTTTCTCGACCGAAGGCCTGACTCGAAGGGACCCGACCGACCCGATGCCCTCGCCGTTGTAACCCGCAACACGCGAAGCTTGGCCCTGGGGACTAGGCCGGCCACCTAGCGAGAAATTGGAGGGCCGACCATTTGGGCCCTGCCCACCCAGGACACCGAGGCCCCTAGCTGCCTGTGGGAAGCATGCTGACACAGCAACGGGTGGGGGGGCCACATCTGACTTCTGTTCCACACCAGAATAATCGCGAACGCCTTAGGCGGTCGTGAGGGGTCAATGTTACCGCGTGTTACATTTTTATTTTAGCCGTTTTGTCCAGACGATGGTCCGCGGACCGTACTAAATACGCGTACGGACGGTTCGGGCCTCGCGCTCAGACGGAGGCTAGTCCGGGCGAGGTATCTGGAACATTTTTCGTTCTCGAAATTGAGAACAGTTTTTGTGTAACAGAAGGATACTTGTTACTGAGGTTCGCCCAGGGGAAAAACGCGTCGAGCGACTTCGTATAGAGTAAACTCGTTTTCAATAATAGTCTCGTCGGCCAATCAAATGACGGTTTGGTTTAACTGTCCGGCAGACGGACGGGAGTCGTTGGGACAGCTATGTACACAAAAAAATTGAAAATTGTTTCATCTGCGGTACGTACAGCTACGACGTCGCACGGTGGCAGGTGAAACTTTTCGCAATGCCTCACGAGACTAGTTACCCTACAAATGTCTGAACGGCTCACGGTACGGACCATGGATGTGAGAAAATGTAACACGCCCTCATATTCTTTACAATGGGCTCCAATAGACTGGTGCGAAGTCTATAATAGCATAATTTTTGGACCCTCACTATCGGTTATGCGTTACAATCGCACGAATCTTCCACAGAGATGCAAATTGTTCAATTTATCATTCACAAAATGTCAAGCATGTTGAGTCCCTAAATCTTCGAAGAATCCAAGATGAAATTGAGAAGCACTAGCTCTCTTAAAAAATCAAATATCTCAATAGTGGTTTGCGGTTAGTAGTGATGACTGTCAACTCGCAATCAACAATTTGAATGAAAATTTAGGCTGAAAATTTTTCACCCTTTTTCGGGATCCCATTTTCCCCCAGCTGCTACACAACCCATGCTCGGAAAAAAAAAAAAAATGTTACCGTCTGCCCCAGATAGAAGCTCCCCTAGGGGTATAAAAAAACATTGTGTTTCGGGGAGTGGGCTTATAATCGATTATTTTTATAAGCGTCGGCGCTTATATAACGGCAAAACTGAATTTCTATTTGTTTTACACCAAATTGTAGATCCCGTTCTGCAGATTGTAATCGAGTCGAAAACATATAGGGTCGCAAATCTGATTCTCCCGCAGCTTGGAAGGGACTGATTCCCTGCCAACACATACTGACAGAATGACAGCACATGCTGACTAGATGCGAAAAAAGTGAGATTAGAGTGAGGGTAAAAATCATTTCTGTATTTCGACAAGTTTCCAAATAAAAAACCAACATGCGCTTATAATAAATCATCTTTTTTTAAGGGGTGGGCTTATAATCGAGGACTGGATATAAGCGTCGTCATCCTTTTATAAGCGCCGGCGCTTATCCGAGGCCTGCGTTTCTATCCGGGGGCTTACGGTAAGTGGACTAGGGTGCGATTCGATGCTACAATCGCATTTAGGGTTGGAGCAATAGCAAAGCCAAAGCTAAACGTTACAATGGCCTTCCAGAACGAATAATCGCCCCCGCCCAGAACATTATGCACCATACTAAAAAAAATTAGGGTATATTGTTATGGGTTGTCAAACAAAGTTGCGCATAAACAATAAACACAGCTATAATAAAATGAAAGGTACGCACTTATATAGCGGGTCGACCTAGCTAGGCGGGGACCTCGGGAACACGACATTGGGTGCAGGTTGGGCAAAGAGAAACCAAGAGCGACGCGAGATTTCTTCGGCAACAAGCAAATTGGTCGAACATGCACTTTCGAAAGTTGGGGTTGTACGCGAAACAGTAAACCCCAATAAGGAAAACCCCAATCGTTACACTACCCCCTCATTTAAGAAATGTGGTCAACATCCGCGACATGCTTCCGGGCAAGGTAATCACGCAGTAGCGAAGGTGCGTCAAGTGAGGCGGATGCACCCAAGAGTCGAACACGGTGATCCAGAATCTTCAATGGGTCAAGTGTCGGTTCCGGAAAAGGACGAGCTACTTGGGCGGCATTTTGGCGTGCAATGTCTATCATGGATGGTACAAACGGCTTCAGGAGGCTGACGTGGAAAGCATCGTGGATGCGCCAATCGCCGTACTGCGCCCACGTCTCCTTCCAGAACTTTGATGTAAACTTCGGGACCCTGTCGCTGATGATCGCGAATGGGATACCGTGTATGCAAACAACGGTCGACATAAAGAGGCGACGCAATGTCTTTGGCAGTGATTGTCCTGCGACATACTGCGAAGTGCGACATTTTTGTGAGGCGGTCGACGACGACGAAAACCGCGTCGTTGCCGGACGTGCCAGCTGGTAGCCCCGTGAAAAAATCCATTGTCACCTGTTACCATGGTTGCTTGGGTAGCTCGAGAGGTTGCAGCAGGCCGGCCGGTCGCCGACGTGTTGATTTCATAGCCTGGCACACTCTGCATGAAGACGCATAGCGTTGCACGTCAGAGTTAGAGTCAGTCCAATAATACTGACGGTGCCGAATGTTTTGCATCTTTTCAACTCCAAAATGTCTGGCAGTTGCGCCTGAAGAGCCATGCCAACCACGTGCTGCCATGTTGGTCGACTTTGCCACAGCAGCCTTGACGACGTTCGCGCACCTCCACAAAACCCCGTGAAGCATGTTACTAGGTTGACGGGGAAACCGCGAAGTCGGACCCTTGGTTAGTTCGCTGCAATTACCTGTTGACGGACTTCGTTTTTTTTGTCCCGCAGTGTACGCCTGGATTTTTTCGCCTTCGGTCATATCGTCGATTCTGTTGAAGACATTCTCCATCTGCTGCGTATATTGTGCTACATTGCCGTATTGTGAGTGACGATGAATCTGTTGCCATGCCATGAACGACGAATTTATCGGCTCGAAACATTTGATGAGGGCTGCCTGAAACTGCGCCCATGAAACTTCGCCTCAAATTTCGTTGCTACTGTAGATCCATTCGAGTGTCGGGCCTCGCAACAGTATGGCTGCGAGCCAAATCTGCATCGTGTCGTTTGTCGAGGTTGTGAAATAAATTTCGAGTGTCACGATAAATCTACTGACGTCCGTGCCTGTCACGCTTGGAATGAACGCCTCTAGTAGCCTCGGACGAGCAGCTTCGAGATTTACGGTAGAGGGTGCCGCTGCTGCAGTGCGAAATGTCGGTGTCGCCACTACTGCTGATGCTGCCATCACTGCTACATTTGCTGATGCATTCGCTACTGCTGTGGCGGCTGTCGACTGGTTCGCGAGTATCGCCTCGATTCGCTGAAGTGCCGCTAGCGTCTGGTCCTTCTCGGCGCGGAGGGCTGTAATTTCTTGAACGAAATTGTCGCCCTGCCCCTCCATGCCTGCTGACATCGTGTCCGAAAACCGAAGCATGGAGTACCAAAAAATTTTACGCAGAACTGGTTTTACGTACCCAGATCGGCGCTTTTCGTCGTCGCCCCCACGGTTTTTTATATGCTGTTTTTAAGCAGTTGAAGACCTCCGCGTGCAAACGAGCTCTCATTACCAAGTGTGAGGATCAAGGAACTGGTTTAGAAATGACTGATTGATCACCTGGGTACAACACAAGGCTATATATAGTCTCGACACAAGGCAGGGTAACCAGACATTCCGTAAAGGTTTTAAAAGTCGCGAAGCGTCCCAAATGGATCCTTCCTGAATTCGGTAGAAGCTGTTCAGTGTGATCTGAATAGCACTGAATTCGGTGAAATAAGTTAAGCAAAGAACCTAGGAAATTAGACAAAAGCATGCACAGTAAAATAAAGCTCAGCAATATAAAGTATGATAAATTAAAATCTAGCAAGCAAAGCTAGCAAAGCTGTCGTACTCTCACAATGTCGAACACTTGATGCGCTGGCTCATCCAAGAGACGGCGGCCCTGCCAAAGACAAACACGTAGCCACCCGTGCTCGTATGGTTCTGCTTTTTGTCGGCGTCTACATAGCCGAACAGACACAGCGACTCTGGTCCACTGCCAAACTCCAGGGCGGCGTCACGGATGTCAGCGAGGAAGTGCAGGCAACAGTCAACCTCATGC